TAGGCGGAGCACTTTTTCCGTGTTGGTGAGACCATCCCAGTCTGTTTTCTGGTCATATGTTCGAAAGAACTGGGCGGCTGGGTAGGTCCCGTCGAAGCTCTGGACTTCTATCTCCGTCCGATGGGTCACGCGGTCGCTGGTGGTCTGAAGGGCAGATAAACACGCCGCGAGGCGTGCCAAGACGGCCGGCAACTCTGCCGACGGAGGGGGTGGTTCTATTTTGGGAGTACTTACGGCGGGGTTGTTTTCTCCCTCTGCGGTGTATTCCTCCGCGTCTTGCGTTTCGTTTTTCTCGTCCATCCTGTCGACTCTCTGTGGTATAAGGGAAAAGGATCCTGAGAATCTTGTCGACTCTCTATATTAAAGTGCTTTGTCCTGAGAATCCTCGGGAGTGGATGGGGTTTTGTATGTTTGGGCAGTCGTTATCAATGGCGGTGGATGAAAAAATCGGCACACTATATCGATTAATGAATCACAAAACACCTCGGAATATTAATCATTGGCGGCTCGGGAGAGGAGATGGAAGGATTTTCGCGATTAAATTGGATTGAGATGACTCACATCTTGGACCTCGAGGCACTACTTTTAGAAGATGCACACACACGTCTTGACACACACGTTACCGACCGAACTCTGGTTGCCCCGCCCCCTGGCTTGGGTCATGTGGGACCCTGCTTGACCTTTGATTGGTCCCTGTCTCTGTCGGCCATGATGGTAAATTTGGTCGGGAAGAAGCTTTGCCTAACATCCCAATCTCTCAGGACATTCAACTCTGGAATATGAGGGCCTCTTTGTTCTAAGTGACCTAGATACACGACTTGGATCTGTCGTTCTTTTCTCTTCTACTTCTTCCATCTCCTCTTCCTTTGACTGCCATCTTTATTTGAATCCATACAGAATACATTATATCCAACATGGTACATAATTATTTATTAGACAATATTCTTTATAATATTACAGAAATTATCACGTTTTGAGTAACAATTTTTTTAAAACTAAATTGTATTTGATTAATGGAAAGAAAGAAAAAAAAAAGTTGGGAAAACAGGCAGATGTTATGAGGGTGAGCCTAATATTGGAAAAAAAAAATCCACATTATCAAGAAGCACATACTAGACAAATCAGTTTAGAGAGAACGGAGTGAAGATCTTCCTAACTTGTACCATCTGTATGAGGGAGAAGTCAGCGCATCTCTGTTGTTGTTGTTTCTTATCCCCTTGTGTAAAGATTACAAGAATTCCATGAGTGATCTCATGGAATGGGGTGTAGGGGTGCAGCTTTCGTTGATCATGACACTATGATCCAGGCACACTTTGGTGAAAGTCTGATTTTGCCTGTAGTTTGAGGCTGTTCCTAACATGGAGGCAGACGCCTTTGCTGCCGACTCTAACATGAGTACAGACACAGCTCCTCCGTATTCCTGGAGTGGGACCCTTGCTGAGGTCAATCAACTGGGTCAGTTGAAGTCAGGATTTTTAAAGAGGTCTACTCCTCTTCTAACAATGCTGCTGTTGGTTAGCGACTCTTGCGCATCTCTTGTGAATGGGGGCAACTATAAAAGACTTTGTTTCATATTCCTCAATTAATCTTACATTTAATTAATGTGTATAGTCTTCGTGACTGTGTATAATGATGCATATGGGGTAATGATAAGGCACAATTTGAATTAAAGCTTATAAACATAAGGTAATAAGACCAATCTTCAGACAAAATTCAGTTCTTTCAATATACATTTACTACTTTTGTCTGAAGATAGTAAAAACGCTGTTACCGAAACGTCACACACTATTTATTTATTTATTTGAATTTAGTCTTATTACCTTGTGTTTATAACCAAATTTTTATTTGATTTCCAATCGTTTCAGTGACTTTCACAATCATTGCCCTGAGGAGAGAAAATTTTGGTTAATGTATAGCTATATCTTTCCCTAACAAATTGGATTTTAGACTAAAAATTTTCTAGTACCGTGGCTTGCAGTAAATAGTCTGTAATATGCAAAATAACTGGGGAAAAATGTTTACTGGAGACAGAGAGGTATAAAGAGTTGTAATAAAATACTAAGATATGGTATTGAGAGAGTAAAAAAAAGATGTGGAGGGAGAAAAAAAGGATTAAAAACTTACAATGGTGATGACTCTGCCAAAGGATTCTCCTTCCTGCTTCTTTTTGCTGGATTCTCCCTTGTTTCTGATGTGGAACTCCGAGGAGGGGTTGAAAATCTGTGGTGAGCACACACATACCATGGTCACCACCACAACAACAGCTGTGAGAGGTAGGTTACCATGGAGAGGATGAGGAAAAGGCTGTCCAGAAGTCCAGGTCTCTCATCCGGAGTGAAGAGACGCAGCAGGGCAACCACAAGCCTCACTGCCATGTGGCACAGTTCCAGGATGCCCTCCTGGATCTCTGGGGACCATGTGTGGACCACCTTGGTGTTCAGGAGCTGCAGCACACCTCAACTCTTTATAGTAGAAAACCACAAGAGATTCCTTCAGTAGGAAACCTCAGATTTCTTCAGTGGGAAACCTCAGATTTCTTCAGTGGGAAA